GCAGATGCTGCTGTTGAATCACCTGGCATTATACTTGGCATGCTGTAGCCAGGATATTTTTTTAAAAACTGTGTTCCAACTTCACTTGCGTCAGAATGAGGAGAGGAGAGGCGATGGATGGCTAAAATGCAGAGTCCTGGCCTGTGGGCAAGGTCCCACACCCGACCCTCTTTTTAAGCCCCTCTCCTGCTTTATTTTATGTGGAAACCATCCAGTACCTGAAATGATCTTCTTTGTTACTTTTTCCTTCTTTCCTAACACTGCAGAGTAAGCTCCACTGCATGAGAATGGAGACTGTCTTTCTTGCTGTCCTCCTGTACTGTCCCAGTGCCCAGCACTCGGCAGGTGCTTCCTGTACACAGTCGTCCCTTGGTATCCTCATAGGGTTGGTTCCAGGGCTCCCAGGATTCCCAAGTCCGGGGGTGCTCAAATCCCTTACATAAAGTGGCATGGTGTTTGCTTACAACCTACACACACCTCCTGTGCACGTAAGCCATCTCTAGAGAACTAATGAACACTCACACAATGCAAGGTGAGGTGGCAGGGCAGGCACCTGGGATTCGGGTCGGAGGCCTTTCTGTGCAGACCCAGAACCCAGAGGAGGGAGCAGTGAAGGGGGCAGAGCAGCCCCGGGGGTAGGACTTACGTTCACACCCGTGTCCCCAGACACATCCGGAATCCAAGACAACGGTCCCCAGTCGAATGCCCAGGAGGCCATGGGAGGGAAGACAGGGGCTGGGCTCCTGCCATGAGGCAATTTGGGATATCTTTTATTTCTGTAAAGATGGAACCGGCATTTCTTAATCTAAGTGATTCTGCCACCATGACGTCACCAGGATGGCTAAAAATTAAGATCTCAGCAGCATCAAATGTTGGTGGGGATGTGGCATGCTGGAGTGTGTTGGGGGAGAGTAAAATGGGGCAAACATTTTGGAACAAGCCTGCCATTTTCTTAAAATGAGTGATCCTTTTGGTCTGGCCACAATGTCCTCAGGGTACAGAGTCAACTGTGAAAGAAGGCGTCTCACCATGAGCCTGACACTGGTGGATTGGGAATCCACAGGGACTGGTGGGGAGTGTGGCAGAAGGGGGACTGTGTTTTGCTGAAGTGGGTGGAGCTAGCAGGTACCACCCAATGGCTTCCATACATGAAACCAAACCCAGGGTCACCAGATCTGATTTTCCAAGAGAAATTGGAAATGCACTGTTCACAGAATTCAATGCCACTTCCACTTTTGTACTTTAAAGTGGACATGTAAACTGGCAAACCATCATGGTGGACAGTTAGGCAACACCAAGGCAAAATTCAGATGCCTGCATCCTTGTACTCAGTAATCCCACCTCTGGGACTACATTGTGTGGATGTATTCCTGCGTGTGTGAAATAGCACGTATGTGGCCGGCGCCGCGGCTCAATAGGCTAATCCTCCACCTAGCGGCGCTGGCACACCAGGTTCTAGTCCAGGTCGGGGCGCCGGATTCTTTCCCGGTTGCCCCTCTTCCAGGCCAGCTCTCTGCTGTGGCCCAGGAAGGCAGTGCTTGGGCCCTGAACCTCATGGGAGACCAGGAGAAGCACCTGGCTCCTGCCTTCGGATTAGCGTGGTGCGCCGGCTGCAGCGCACCAGCCGAGGCGGCCATTGGAGGGTGAACCAATGGCAAAAGGAAGACCTTTCTCTCTGTCTCTCTCTCTCACTATCCACTCTGCCTGTCAAAAAAAAAAAAAAAAAAGAAATAAAGAAATAGCACATATGTATGGTAATTCGCTGCAGCGTCACATGTTACAACAGAGGACTGGACACAACCTCAGCATGCATGAGGACAGACAGGTGACGTGAGTGTGGGACATTATTTCAATGGGATGTTCTAAATGTAGAGGAAAAGTGCATATGACACTGGTGCGGGTATGGAAGGACCTCCAAGAGTGAACTATTTAACTGAATGAGGGTGCACAGTTGACTAGGCATCACTCAGGACTTTGCAGATATTAACTCATTTGATCCTCAGAACAACACCCATTTCAGAGCTGAGGAAGCTCAGGTACCAATGGGCTAAGTCAAGGTGTCCCTGAGCCCCACCTTTCAACAAGTGGAGAAGCCGGGACTGCAGCTTAGATGGACGGGTGCCGCAGGCTTCTAACTGCACAGCTGTGCTGGCTTTTCCCTGGGTTGCAGGAAAACGGGGGCAACATTTACTACAGTGTCAAAAAGGTTAACGGGGGTGGTAACTGACAATGTGATGCGCTTAGAACTACTTATCAAGGATTGTGTGACAGATGCGGCTTCCAGGAAGGCTACCAGGTGACCTTGGGATAAGAGGAGAAGGTGAATTTTCTTTTAAGATTTGTTTATTTGAAAGGCAAAGTTACACACACACACGTACACAGAGAGAGACAGGGACAGAGAAATAGACAGAGACAAAGAGATACAGAGAGATATCTTCCATCTGCTGGTTAACTCCCCAAATAGCTGCAACAGCCAGGGCTGGGTTAGGCCAAAGCCAGGAGCCAGGAGCTTTATCCAGGCCTTGAATGTAGATGTAGGTCCCCTGCACCCGCGTGGGAGACCCAGAGGAAACTCCTGGCTCCTGGCTTTGGATCTGCGATCGGCGTAGCTCCGGCCATTACAGCCATCTAGGGAGTGAGCCAGTGGGTGGAAGACCTCTCTCTCTCTCTGTCTCTTTCAAATAAATAAATCTTAAAAAAAAAAAAAAAAAAAAAAGAATGTAGATGCAGAGGCCCAAGCAGTTGGGCCACCTTTGGTTGCTTTTTCAGGCACATTAGCAGGGAGCTGGATTGGAAGTGGAGCAGCCAGGACTTGACCTGGCTGGAGTTCATATGGGATGCCAGCAGTATGAGTGGTGCCTAACCCACTGTGCCACAATGCTGGCCACAAGTTGAATTTTCTTTCTCCTCTCTCTCCCTCTCCCTCCCTTCCATCTCTCCCTCTCTCCTCTCTCCCTCTTACTCCTCCCCTTTCCTCTCTCCCCTCTTTCCCTTCCTTCCTCCTTTCCTTTTTATTTATTTGAAAGTCAGAGTCACAGAGAGAGAGAGAGGGAGAGAGAAAGGGAGAGAGAAAATCTTCCATCTGCTGGTTCACTCCCAAAATGGCCACGATGGCCTGGGCTTGGCCAGGCAGGAGCCAGGAACTTCTTCTGGGTCTCCCACATGGGTGCAGGGGCCCAAGGGCTTGAGCCATCTTCTGCCGCTTTCCCAGATGCATTAGCAGGGAGCTGGATCCGAAGTGGAGCAGTCGGGACTTGAACCAGTGCCATATGGGATGCCAGCGCTGCAGACTGCAGCTTAACCCGCTGTGCCACAGAGCTAGCTCTGAGCTGAATTTTCACACACAATTTTCCATAGAATTATTATGTTCACAGAATTACAGTGACATCATAGAATGTAATTTCCACTCTGTGATTATGTTTCCACTTAAGAATGAAGGAAGCTGAATCCCAACGAGACAGGCTGTGCTCCTTTGTCTTCTCAGAGCTCCGGGCCAGTCCCTCACACTGTGAGTATATTGTGTTTTCGTGGGGCCGCCTGAGCAGCAGTCACTGCTGTGACCCCTAGAACAATGCTGGCAGCTTAAAGCAGACAGAATCCACGTCTCAGAATTGTGCACGTTACCCATCTTTACCGAATGGGATGAGGAACTGGTGGAATGACTGAACGGCTTGGAGAACAACGTGTTCTGTCCCTCATCCTTGCTGGAGGCTGAGGGTTTCTGGCCGAAGCTGCAAAGACCCCCCAACTCCCCCCTTCTGCAAAGCCCCTTTCTGAAGGTGAATTTTAACTGCATAAAGGCCAGCAAGCATTGCTCACGGGGGTCCCTGCCCCGCCCGCCCCCCGCAGCCTTGCGCGTGGCCCCCTCAAGAGCTTTCTTCTGGCGACACTGTTGCTATGGAAACCGCAGCCAGCCAGCCTGGAGGGGGCTGCGGCAAGAGCAGGGAAGGCAGCAGAATGAGTCTTCTGCGCACAGAACTTGGACCATGAGAACGTGCGGGTTCGAAACCCCAGCCTGGACCCATCACGGCCCCCTTCCCCTGCCCCCATGGAGGCTTGCCCTGCCCCAGCCCCTCTTCCAAGGTGGGGAAGGCCTGTGTGCCTGGGCGTGGAGGCTGCTCCACCCTGACTGATCACTACCCAGGTTTTTCAAGGGGTCCCAAAGCCCCCACACCCCACTGCAGAAGCACCGTGCAGGAAACGCGCCCTAGACATGCAGAGCACTTGGGCTACTCTCTAGAGAAAAATGTTTCTAGAACCTTCTACATGTGGCCTGCCATTGTTTTCTCCAAATAACTTGTCCTTGTCTGAACATTTTAATTTTGGAAGTCATTTACTTTTTCATTGGAGATATTTAGAGAGCAGAGAGCTCTCATTCTTGGGTCCCTCCCAGAAGGCCCACAGTTTGGCCCTGGGCCCACTGAAGCTGGGGACAGGAGACTCAATCAGGCTTGGATGCGGATGTCAGAGGCGGGTGGAGGCAGCCCCACGCCCTGCCGGGGTCTGCATTAGCAGAAAGCTGAGGCAGGCAGGGCTGTGGCTGGAGCCCAGGCACCCCCCTGTGCCATGTGGCTGTCTCAACCATAGACCAAAAGCCCACACCTGGAATCTTACCTTTCACTTCCCCGTGTGTGGTCCCCCGGCTCCGCTTGGGGTAAGTGAACTTCTGTGAACAGAGCAGTGTCTGTCCCAGGCTCTGCTTTACCCCCTTCCACCACGCCTGGCACAGACCAGGCGCTCTGAGCGAACGAATGAGTGAACCCGTGACTTCCTGCTGTACCTCAGTCCCACAGGAAGTGGCTGGCATGGGGTAGATTTCCTGGATTTCTGGCCTCTGGGGGAGACATACATTCTAATCTTGGTCCCATGCCCTCTTCGCTGACCCCCAGTGGTGCTGAAAGTGCCCTCTTATCTCCCCTCATATGAAGGCGGCTGGGCCACTGAACAGCCGTGAGCCTCAGGGTCGGTCCCTCCACTTCTCTGTGCCTCAGTTTCCTTACCTGCAAAATGGCCATGCTGCTGCTGCCGTCTCCCTGTGAGGTCTGAAAGGGAAACGCAGGTAAGCGCACACAGCACCGTGTGCATTTTTCAGTTCATCTCAGCGGGGAGTGCCCAGATATGTGGCAGCGTCTGGAGATAGTCTGGTCGTTGTGACTTGGGGGGGGGGGGTGCTGTCATCCGTGCTGCACCACCTCCCGGACTGCTATGGCCTGACCCAGAGTGCACGTGTTGCAAACTTAATCGGCAGTGCAGCTGAGGGAGGGCTGGTGACTGGGCCGTCATGCTCTTGCACTGGTTAGCGCAGGAGTGAAGAGTTCCTCTCTCTCTCTCTCTCTCTCTCTCTCTCTCTCTCTCATACACACACACACACACACACACACACACACACACACACGCTGTCTTGCTTTTCCAAAGTGATGGTGCCGCAAGGCCCTTGCCAGAGCTGCCCCTGGGCCGTGGACGCGCAGCCTGCAGAGTGAAAGCAGTCAGTGCTCACTGTAACTGACCAGGTCTCAGGGACTCCGTCAGGGCAGCAGCAAACGACGGGGGCAGCAGCTCACCCCGCAGAGACATCCGGCCCCTTTGAAGACCCTGGTGTACACACATAGGTGAGGGGTCTTCGTTCATGGGAAACGTGGTCTTGTATCATGAAAATAACGTGCATGGATTCAAAAATCTTTGGCACCAAAATAAACTTACCTTTTAATCCTATTTTCTACAATTTTTTGAAGCATCTTCCCACATTTATAATAGCCTAGAGCAGGGAGAAATAAAGCAGCATAATATGAGACGTATTCATTATTTAAAATTTTCTAGTATCTATATCGAGAAAGTCAGAAACAGCTAAAATTAATTTTAGGCTTTGTCTTACTTATCTCAACACATTCATGATGTCTTGTGGCCAGCGTAAAGCAGGTGGCCAGGGTGTCTCTGGGTGGTTCCGAGACCTAGTGTACAGCAGGCGGCCGGGGTGTCTCCCAGCGTGTGCTCTGTCCTGGAGCACATCTTGTTCTCCCCAGCTGCAGTTCAGGCTCCGTGCAGCACGGGGTGTGTGGTGGTGGCGGTGGTGGGGGCTTGTGGCTGCCCAGCTGGAACTTCAGGGCTAGGCAGTCACCACGTTGTGGACCAAACGGCCAGGAGGGGGCGTCCAAAGATTTATTCCAAAATCTATGCACCTGTGAAGACATTTCTAGACAGAGATTGACAAAGAAAACAGCTATGGCTTTAATACAGTCCTTTCTCCAAGAGGTAAGAAGTGATTCAGAGGTCTAACTTTGCGCCCTGTCTCCTCTCATTGGGGAGATGCAAACAGAGGAGGACAAGAGATTGCCAATCTGGATGGCTTCGGTGCAAACTTCTGTCCCCACTATCCATGCTCATCTACCCTACTGATCACAGCTGCACTCAGCATCTCTGCCTGGATGCCCACATGGCCTCGGATCCAGCTCAGTGCCCACCGGAAGCCAGAGCTATCGTGCTTGGGCCGTGGCCTGACATCCCCGGGGGATGCCCCACTGCACTCAGGCTCAAATCCAACCTGCTGTCCATGGCTTAAAATACAACTTGCCCTTACCAAACCCTTAACTGCCTGTTACCACTACGCAGCCCACCTCCTGGGTACCCTGCTAGTACAGAACCAGTTGGGTCGCCCCAAAACTCCTGTGTTGAAGTCCTGACGCCCAGTCCCTGAGACTATGACTACGTGGAGACGTGCTATTTGCAAAGGTGCTGAAGATTAAAGGGCACTGGGCTGGGCCCTAATCTTCTCTAACTGCAGTTCTCAGGGGAAGAGGTGAAGAGGACACAGATGCACACAGAGGGGCGACCACATGGAGACACGGGGAGGTGCCACCTGCAAGCCCGGCAGAGTCTCCAGGAGAAAGCGACCAGCCGGCCAGCCAGATGTGAGACAGTGGGGGAAATCGCACAGTTCACGCTGCCAGGGCTGCCGCAGCGGGCGAGCACCCAGCTCAGAGCCCTTGCATTTCCTGAGCACACTCAGCTCTGTTTCTCGCATCCGCCCCCATGCTCCTCTGAGTCTGCCTTCTGACTTGTTCCGCGAGGTCTGGCTCCGCACCATGGACAAGGCAGCAGCAAGTGCGTGCTGAGTGTGTCATGAGGACTCCCTCCTCTGATCTGTACCTCTCTCTGAGGTTGCTGCTGTCAGATGCCTTTGTTCCAGATGGGCGCGTGGGGACAAGAAGAGCTAAAAACTTCCTATTTCAGGTGCTATGGCCAGGATGTCCACTGACAGGACAGAACTGATAAAGCAGTACTGATGTTTGTCCTGTAGTGAACACCCTACTTCCAGCCAGGCCCTGCTGTCAGGCATTCCACTGTATCCATTGATTTGCCCCCAGTGGCTAGTTTTATGATCCTGAATTTTCAGAGGAGGAAATCCAGGCCCAGGGAGGTTACGTCACTCGCCCGAGGGCACACAGCTACTGTGTGTGGAGCTGGGGTTACACCCAGGAGCCCAGCCCCAGAACACTCTCTCCCTCCCTCTCTTGGTCTCTTTCTGTGTGTACAGGAGGCTCCATCACTTTCACACCTCTCAGGTCCTTCCTCACAGCCTTTGCACTTGCTCTTCCCTCAACTTGGAGGGAACAGCAATTTCTTCAGAGGAGCACATCTTGTTCTGTCGCTTCCTTCCCATTCTACATATGTCTGCCCGTCTGTCATCTATCTCTACCATCCCCTAGAAATGTACGCACATGTATACTCACGTGAATATGTGTCTCTATATATCTATATGTATTACAGATACAGAAATACCTCTACCTGTCTACTACACACACACGCGCGTGTGCATAAAATGAAACGAGAGGGACGAACTGGGAGCAGAAGGCAGCTGTGTTGGCAGGGGTCAGGGACCCCGGCTCAGCACCATCTCTGTCCTGTGTACTGCAGGACGTGCAGCAGCGTCCTTGGCCTCCACCCCCACAAATCCCAGCCGTCTCCTCGTCCCGTCATGACGACAAGGAGTGTCTCGGGTACTGCCAGCCGTCTCCAGGGGCCCTGTCATGACGACAAGGAGTATCTCCGGGTACTGCCAGCCGTCTCCTCGTCCCGTCATGACGACAAGGAGTATCTCCAGGTACTGCCAGCCGTCTCCAGGGGCCCCCATCATGACGACAAGGAGTATCTCCGGGTATTCCAGCTGTCTCCAGGGGCCCCGTCATGACAACAAGGAGTGTCTCTGGGTACTGCCAGCCATCTCCAGGGGCCCCGTCATGACGACAAGGAGTGTCTCCAGGTACTGCCAGCTGTCTCCAGGGGACAGAATCTGCCCGTATGGGAACCACTGGAGTAGCATCGTGGGCACCGGCTGCTTCTGAGGAAAACCTAAGGATGGAGCTGGACTTTGGGGCCAGGCAGAGTCGGCAGTGAACAGTACATGGGTGGGACAAGGAAGGGCACAACCCCAGGAGGGAGCCTCTATGCTCAGCCTGATTTCTCTGCTGTTAGTTTCCTGCAAGAAACCCACCAATGGTTTCTGGTCTCACCCAGAGCAAAGCGTCTCTGCACACCTTGGCCTGGGTGCCTCCTGTGGTCCCCCACTCTCACTGAGGCTCTTCCTCTTGGCTCTATCTGCACCAGCCTTCAACCGTACTGCCTGAACCTACTCTTGTATGTTCCCGTCCCTGGGCAGAGCAAATGCCTTCCGAAGGCACCGTCTTGTATTCTCACTGATCATTTCTAAGCATGAACATAGAATCACCTGTTAAGAACACCAGTTCCACTAAACAAAGCAGGGAGTCTGTTTAAACAATGTCAAGCAGAGACACTAAGTTTAGTATGGAGGGCGGAACCAGGCAGAGATGGTACAGGGCATCGCTGCAACCACCTCACTCTGCAAGCCCAGGTTAGCTTCCTGGAACGCAGGGCTGACAGAAGCCACTCCTGCTTCGAATGCTCTTCTCCTGAGGAGGAAGATTGTTCTCAGTGGTTACTGGCAATGTGTGCTCCAGCTCTCGGCTCCCTCTGTAGCTCCTGGCTCGTCACCCCCCCCCCCCGCCCCACTCTGTAAATACACCAGTTTCCCAGCCTCCATCCTTCCACACCTGTCCTTCCAAATGAGGCACTGGAGAAGCGTGACTCTGGAGCCAGCGAGTCTGATCGGTGCTTCCCTGGGAGCTTGCCCTGGGTTCTCCTGGTCTCAGCCTGGCGCTCTCCTCCTTACAGGCAAAGATGTATCTGAGGAGGGAATAAAGGAATGCCATCAAGTTCAAGGTGACTGTGGTCCCACTGGCAGTGTCAGAGCTGAGCAACTGCAGATTCATAGCGCGTCAGGGGAGCCATGAGCTCCAGCACGATGAGAGTAACCTAGCGACGTGAAGTCACTTTTCTGAGGACACACAGTGCGCTGCACCTGCAGACCTATGGAAGATGCTGCAGCGTGACTGAGCAAGGTGTGAAGCATGGAGGCTTTAAAAAACTAGTGAATTAATTAAAAGTTGTGTGTGTGTGTGCACACGCGCAAAAGGACATGAGAGCTGATGAGTGGCTACTGCAATTTTCCAGGCAGAAGGCTGTGGCGGTTTGGGCCAGGGGTGGTGGGAGATGGGAAAAGAAAATGCACAGAAAAGGCAGGGTCAGGAGCGCAAGGAGACCCCTGCTGGTCTCCTACAGCACTTTCTGCTGAATGAAACAGCCCAGCAGGTCTGCGAGGAAGTTTTGTGTTGCTGCTGAAGGAAAGGAAGGAATGGCTTTCTTGGATTTAGAATGGCGCGGTCAGTATTCTGGAGTTAGCCATGAAAATATCTAAAACACAGTTATCGGTCCCCAAAGCATATCCTTAAATCTTAAATCCCACCTCCCACTGGCTTTTCTCTAATTTTGTTTTTTAAAGATTTATTTATGTATTTGAAAATCAGAGTTAGAGAGAGGTCTTCCAGGTACTGGTTCACTCCCCAAATGGTCACAATGGTTGGAGCTGGGCCAATCCAAAGCCAGGAGCCAGAAGCTTCTGGGTCTTCCACGTGGGTGCAGGGTTCCAAGGAGTTGGGTCATCCTCTACTGCTTTCCCAGGCCATAAGCAAAGAGCTGGATTGGAAGTGGAGCAGCCGGGAATTGAACCAGTGCCCATAAGGGGTGCTGGCGCTGCAGGCACTGGCGCCTTTTCTCTAATTTTCAAGCAACGGTGTTTTTCCCAGTGTGTTGCTTTGTGCACTGTGTGCTCAGCACAGTAAGTGCCCAGTGAATCCCAGCTGTCTGTAGTCCCTGCTTCTCTCCCCCATTTTTCACATTTAACTTTGTTTCTAATTGACAAATAATAATTTATATATTGTGGGTTACAATGAGATAGTCTGATGTATGTATACATTGTAGAAACATTAAAGTAAATCAGTAACCTCACACACCCATCGCTTTTGTGGTGAAATATTTCAAATCTACTCTTTCAATAATTTAAAAATGCACTATGCATTATTGTTTTAGTCACCACTTAGTACACTATGTAACTGAGCATAAAGTTTTATTAGAGAGGAGAAATAAGCTCCTGTCAGTTATTTTATGATTATTACCTGTTATGATTTGTTATTTGCTACATTTCCCATTGTGTGTTGCACATTGGATTTGTTGCACGTTTGTTTGTGGATCTGGGTCTCCTGCTAGACTGTATCTCAGGGCCAGGGACCACATCCTCCGTTCCTGAGCTCCGAATATGCAGTGTGGCTCCTAGCAGTCGGCAGTCAGTAAACGGTTGTGGAACCAGGTCACGCGTGCCATGTCAGACGTGCTGTGCCACGTGGCAGCTGAAGCTTCATGCTGGTGCATGCTGCTCTTCCCCCCTGCCTTCCAAGGGCAGCCTCCACTCCGGTTCAAAGGTCAGCTCCATGCCAGCGTCTTTTTGTTTAAGAAATAGATGCTGATTCTAATTGTCTAATAAAATCCACAGTAAAGCCAGTCACAGCTTTAAAACTAAAAGAAACAGATGCTGAAACACCGATGGATGAAATGGGATCATCTTAGGGAATCTGCAAACGCTCCGGCTGGGGGTCAGGTAGCATGGGTGGGGACGCTGAACCTGAACGGGGTTCCTCGTGCTATTTTGCATACTTTAATACACGCCCAAACTTTTCAATGACCCTGTCCCCACCCCACTTCTCACACTCAGCGCCGAAGTCATCTTTCTAAGCTGCAGATCTGACTGCATCGTTCTGTTATTCCAAACCTCCTGCTGCCCTCTGGAAAAAATCAAAAAGAGGCAAATCTCGCTTAATTCCCACCACAGCCAGGACTGTGAGCGCTCATCAGTGTCACGGGAAGAAAATGAAATATTGATAAAGCCTGTGATTACATCTCTGGCTCTCCCAGCTCTAGGCGTCCCCGCCTCGGGGAGCAGAGTTCACGGATACTTTCCCCTCTGCAAGCATTTTTACAGCGAAGCAATCACAGTGATGAATAGATCGTCCCAGAAGTCATCAGCCATATATTCCAAGCAAACTGCAGAAAGCAATCTTCATGTAGCAATTCCCACCCCAGCAGTTGTTTATTATGTATGCAGCCTCATGTAATTGGTATTTTGTATTCTGTTTCTCCGGGTACATCCAAAGTTGTCTCCATTGTGCTTCTCCAGGGACTCCGAAACACAGGCGTTCTCCATCTTCTGAAGCAAACAAGTTCTATAATGCAAACCTTGAAGGTCACGTTTCCCAGGGGCGGACATACTTTGGCCATTTGTCATCGGATCAGCTTTCCTGGCAGCTAATCCCCATGGCAGCTGCGCGGCCCTGTGGCATGTCAAACTGCCTCTGACCAGCCCGCGCCCCTCCATGGAAGGCGACAGGGGACTGCACCGGCCTCCTTGATCAGCGGCAGCTGCTGCAGTGCTGTTGGCTGCTGCGCTGCTGCTGAAAACCATGCACTGCGTGAAATCTGCTGTAGTGGGGGCAGCAGCCATATGCCCCCTCATCTCTCTCTGCTGAGAGAAGGCAGGCAAGTTGTGCCCTGAAGTAATGTCCTCTGCCCACGGCGATGCCACGGTCTTCCCTGAACCAGGGTGAAGTCTAGTTGGAGTTTTATGGGTGGAGAACCCTGAGACCCCCAGCTATAGCTTCTAGCTTTTCTTTCAGAAGAACAGAATGTATTTTAGCAAAAACATAACCAATAAAAAAATCCGAAGTGTACAAGGTTCTGGCTTTGAGAGCAGCTTTTAGGAGCAAACTTCGCCAGCCTCTCCCTAGGTCTGTGCCTTGGTTGGCTTTCACCCTAATGCCCCTTGCCCCGTTCCTGTGTGCCTCATGGGGAGCACCCCTGAGGAACAAGGCAGCACAGGCTTGCTCTCTGATGCGAGGACAAGGACTGATGTGCCTGGGAAAGCAGCAGCAGGTCACCCAAGGTCTTGAGCCCCTGCCACCCATGTGCAAGACCCAGGTGGAGCTCCTGGCTCCTGGCTTCAGCCTGGCCCAGCCCTGGCTGTTGTTGCTATTTGGAGGAGTGAACCAGCTAATGGAAGATCTCTCTTTCTCTCTGTCTCTCCCTCTCTATCACTCTGCCTTTCAAATAAATACAATATAACTGAAAAAGAGAACGGGGCCAGCACTGTGGCACAGTGGGCTGAACCTCTGCCTGCACTGCCGGTATCCCTTATGGGCACCGGTTCAAGACCCAGCTGCTCATGCTCCACTTCTGATCCAGCTCTCTGCTATGGCCTGGGGAAGCAGTAGAAGATGGCCCAGGTCCGTGGGCCCCTGCACCCAAGTGGGAGACCTGGAAGAAGCTCCTGGCTCCTGGCTTCAGATTGGCTCAGCTCTGGCTGTTGTGGCCATTTGGTGAGTGGACCAGTGGACAGAATGATACCCCCATCTGTAACTCTACCTCTCAAATAAATGAAAAACCTCTACAAAAAAATGAACAAAATGTGCACCTGTACAGACTCATTTTCCTTGTCATCTTCCCATAAGCAATATAGATAGCAACTATTTACAGAGCACTTCCATTGGGCATCAGAAATAGTCTAGAGGTGATTTACAGTGTACAGGAGGATTGAGCAGGTTATATGCAAACACGGCTCCATTTTACATAATGGACTTCAGCATCCCGGGTTTTTGGTATTGGAGGGGGTTCTGGGACCAGGCCCCCTGTAGCTACTGAGGGGTGACTGCATTCAGCCATCGCTCTCGTGGGACCAAGTCTGCTCAGTGTGACTCCCTGCTCCCTGCATTAGGGCTACTACGTATTGAATTGTGACCCTTCCCCCAGATTCACACGCTGAAGTCATGAAGTGAGGTCCTGAAATGGGGCTGTAACTGGCAGGCTGGTGACCCCATAAGAAGGCACGCCTGGCCTCATGCACTGCCATCTGAGGACACAGTGACATGCGCCATCCACAAGACACAAAGAGCAGCTCTCACCAGGAACCAGATTTCATCTTGGACTTCCAGTCTGCAGAATTGGGAGAAAATAAATGTCTGTTGTGTGTGACACCCCGCTTGTGTTCTGTTATGCAACCCCCAGCAGATGCATCCGGGGACCCCAGTTCCTTCCGTCTTGTTACTCTGCATGCCCCACCAGGTTGTCTCCCACCTCCCTGCCTGGAGAGCTGCTGGAGGTCACACAGCATTCCTGCCTCCGAGAGAGAAGGGACAAAGAAGCATCTGCCCTAGTATTCCCTTTCAGAGGCCTCATCTTCACGTGCTTCCATCCTATTGCCCAGAGGCTGGTCACATGGTCACACCCAGGTACAAA